ATCCAGGTGCCCACTGGTGGTCCATGCCTGTAATCATAGCTACTTAGGAGGCTGAGATCTGAGGAATGAGAACACAAGAGGTCCCAGTACCAGTAGAAAAATAACAAAATTTAAAAAAAAACTGCCAAAATACTTGGAGAGGTGCTGGGAAGGCGGCTCAGTGGTAGAGCGCTTGCCTTGCATGCCTGAGGCCCTGGGTTCGATTCCTCAGCACCACATAAGCAAAATGAAATAAGCTGGAAGTGGCACTGTGACTCAAGTAGTAGAACGCTAGCCTTGAGCTGAAGAGCTGAGGGACAGCATCCAGGCCCAGAGTTCAGGCCCCATGATCGGATCAACCCCCCCCCCCAAAAAAAAAATACTTGTAGATCTGAAGGTGGAAGTTATTTTGACCTAGTGATGCCATGGGGTGGGCCCTAAAGCAGCATCTTGCCTGGAATTTCCCTGGAGAACTTACATGACCTAAAGTACAAGAACTACTTGTTTATTTCAAAGTGGCACTTTTCAAAGCTTCACAAAGTTCAAAGGACAAAATGAAGACTGACAGGCCTTTCTGGTGTGGAAAAAGAAGGCCCCGAGAAACAATGACCTGATGCACACCACGTGTAGCTCTGCAAAGGACCAGAAAATATTCTGTATTTTCCAGAAAAAGAAAGAACCTCCTGAGACCCACAGCAGAGAAGAAATATAGAACCAAGTCTACCCACTTTTTGGCATCAAATTTAATGTGTCTCCAAACCCCACAGGAGCCACTGTCCACCTCCAGGGACAAGGAGAATGAATGAATGCCCTGCATCCCTACCACCAAGCCTACCCACCTCCTCTTTCAGTTCTTTGATTTTCATGAGGGTATATGAAATCTGATCTTCAGCATTTTGCGTAGAGGCATATGTTGGTCCATCTGAGGTGGCATTGGATGTGACTTCTTCTCTTGGGACTTCTGAGGTGGGGAAGGCAGTAGCTGTCACCAGGAGCAGCCCCACGAAGGCAAGTGGACAGAAGGTGCCTGTGCGGAGGAAAGGGAAAGCAGTGAGTGAGCTGACAGCACAGCTGGGAGCCTGCCTCTGGCTGCTGGCCAGCCATCAGCCCTTACTCCTCCCTTGCACAGGCACTCAGCGGCCCGCCAGAGGGCGAGGGATTCCCTTCACTTACTTGTGGAGAGGAACTTCATAGCTGTTCCTGGAGGGCAGATGGAGCTCTCTTTCGTTCCTGGTGGGCTCAAGAGCAGAATGAGTCTCTGACATCCCCAGTCTCATATTTATTGGGAGTTGAGACTCTGATTTTGAGACTCATGGGAAAATCCCACATTTGATAAAAATCTTTGTTGGGGGGGGTGGGGCCAGAGTGGGTGGAGCTGATTGGAAACCTTATTACGATGATTGTGCAAGTGAGATTTTTTAGCCCTGAAAGAATCACAACTTGGGGAAAAAAGTATGGCTTAAGTCATCCTTAAAGTTAGCCCGAAGAAGTCGAATCATTCTTCCTTAACTTTCTTCTTCTTCTTTTTTTATTTTCTGTGACACAGCACTTTAACAAGGCTTGGGGGGTGCAGTGAGGGGTAAGAAAGCAAAGCTGTAATCATTCACAATGTTTGATGAGGAGGAACAGAAAGAAGCTGAAGTGATGATTTAAAAAACACACAGTTTAAGTGGCTATGATTTAGTATTCTAGCTAATTTCTATTGGTGAAAAAACTCAGATGTTCTGATAACAGTTTCCACAGATAGCATCATGGACCCTTAACCTGGGATTACGCAGAAGGTAACCTTGCCAGTCATCACAGAACTCTTATTTCCTGACTTTCATCATAACCAGTAATTGCAAAACTGCCTGGCCACCCCAAATTTTGCACAGTTATGATTTTAGGAATCTCCAGTAGAGTGTGTGCTGCATACTCCTTTTTGACACCAGTGCGCGTGCCAATTTTCTCACCTCTTCCACCCACTCCAGAGAGCCTTGTTGTCTCTCTGGTGGCTTCTTGGGGATCTACCTGGTGAGGACTTACAACTCTTTGTCCCTGCTCATCCCTGCTCTTTCTTTTTCTTTTTTTTTTTTTAACCACTTCTGGCTTCTGTGCAGTTTGGTTCCCCAGTGTACCTGCAGTGCTTGCAATGGCCCAGCCTGCTAGGGCCCACCAGTTTCTGAAGCCCATGTAGTTCATGGCAGAAATGGGGAATACTACTCGCCTCTTTGATGAGGATGTCAAAGGAAAACTTTATGGTATCTTTAAAGCTTGTTTTCATAGCTGCTTTTCACTGTAAGACTGCATTTGGATCTGAGGATGGCATATTTATTAGGTGCAGAGTCAAGCTTTCCCCTCTGACATGAAAGCTTTCCTTACCCAATCAAGCTTAAAAACATGATCTTTTAGGATGACTTCTCTTACAGAAGGGTTCTTAGTTTCTTGCCTATGATCTATGGATGTTAGCCCTACCAGTCTCCAGATAACACTGAGGTCTGAACCAAGCCCCCAAAATAGTAATTACAAAACATAGTGTTATTAGCATCACAACCATCTCCTCTACTTTGCAGAGATCTTCTCTTCAAGATTCCAAAACAATGGCATTTTCAAGGGCATTTTAAAAACATGCATTAAATTATTTAAGTTTTCTTGCTATTCAGGAGGCTGTGACCTGAGAATTGTGGTTCAAAGCCAGCCCAGGCAGCAAAATCTGTGAGATTCATCTCCAATTAAGCAGCAAAAAAGCCAGAAGTGGAGCTGTGGCTCAAGTGCAAGAGTGGCAGCCTTGAGTACCAAAGCTCAGAGACAGCATTCAGGCTTTGAGTTCAAGCCCCAGGACCAGCACACAAAAAATTTAAGTTTCATTTTGTATATAACACGTTAGAATCTGCCTGTTGAAGAAAGTGAGGTCACCCATTCTTTCCTTATTTGTCTAAACAAAGGTAGCTTTATGGGGGTTTTTACTTTGAAAATGAAAATGGGAAGGATGGCCAATAGTTTCACTTTTAGTGCTTTTCGGTCTTAAATATCTTACACGCCCCTGAGACAAGTTCTCTTTTTGCAGTGAAACACATTCCTTATTCTCGCTTTTTTTCAGTAGGGTGCCAAAGGCCTCTGTAATATGGTACTGCTTTTATTCAGGTGTCTGGTTTTTCTTTTGGCAAATTTGACACAAGAAATTTTAACCATTTGAACTTAATTATTCAAAACAACATTTTGATTTACCTTTTCTAAGGAGCATTTTTAAAAACAGAGGAGATATGTATGCATGTAAAATTTATGAACAAGATACCAGGATATTCAGGGGAAAACAAGGCTCCTCCTTTCCTGGCTTCTTCTCCCAGAGGAAGTGCCTAGACCTCTGTTGACCTATTCTGACTTAGTCTCTTCAGCTCTCATGCACTCTCTTCTGTATTTACCTTATTACATGCAGATAGACACACACTGTAATTTTCAACAGTATGTATGTATTCTATGCTGCTTTCTTTGGAATATACCTGTATAGGCTCTTGAGTACTCACAGCTTGGGTCAAAGCCCAATTCATTCTTATCTGACCTTGGATGAGTTGCTCCAAGAATTTGAACTTTTGTTATTTACCTATAAAACTGAAATAATAACATTTCTTTCTTTTACAGTATGTTTTGAAGACTGAATGAGGTTTGGTGTTAAAAAAAATCCCTGGGGCATAGTAATCCTGAAAATAGGTACTAAATCTTTGAGATCTTTGGTGACTGAAACTACTATCGGAGGAGCCTCTTTGAACATAGCTGCCTTATCAGCTAATGCCTTGTGTAGGAAATTACTATGAAGGAGACAGGCCACTGTGCCAACCTTTTTATTTTTTAAAAATAAGGTATTAATTAGGTTCTATTGAAAATTCCTTATGGCACAGTGTGAAAGACTGAAAGGAAAAATTGTCTCTCTTGTTTGAGAACATAATGGTTCTCAAACCACGTCCCGTGACTTAATTAGATAGTTGTTCTTGCTCCTAGATCTTTCCCAAATCCTTCTGCTGAGTGTTTTCTCTGTGCCTGGTCATCATCATTGTATAAGTTCCTGAAAATGGCTCCTGAACACAGGGGTGGCAGAGTGGCTGACAACACAGATCTTATGCTTCTGGCAGTCAGCAAAAGTCAGGTGGTAAGAATGCAAGAGGGATCTATCAGCCCCCATATACCACCAGTATGAATATTTGCTGCTGTCAATGCCTTGGATTGGCGTTCTTTGTGGGAAAAAAATGGACTTTTCCTTCTTGGAAAGCATTAATGCAATGTCATAATTCTACCATGATAGCTTTCTTTCTTTATATTTCAATATGTTTTCTGTTTGGAAAAATATTATATTTAGTAAAGATTTATTTATTTCTCTTAGAGTTGCTCTTCAGTCATGGCAAAATTGAGATGAAGGCCCAGAAGTTTCTCAAATACACCCTGCTCCTAAATCTGTCTCACATGTTAGTATGTAGTAATGATCAGGAAAGACTACTGGATGATCAGCATCTGTTAACTAATGCTGTAGTTGCTGGATTGAACCATTGCTGGTTTGAAGTGACTGCTAGCTGAGACTGAGAGAGGAAGGGCAAACAGGAAATGTCTTTTGCTCCCTTTACCACCTTATATAGAGCTAGTTGTGTTCCCTGCTAATACCTGCTTTCCTACATTATGGTAGAGTCCAGTTCAGAGGATTCACAAATATATTTGAGATGAGGAAAAGAGGAATTTCCATTGGATACTGATACGTTCCTTACATCTCTTAAGCTATGTTACATATTCTGAGGGTGAAAGATGGGTGGTTCTGCAATTTAACAGGAGTATCCTAAACAGGAAAGGGAAGTCACTGGGTTTTAGGGAACTGTAGCTGCTCTTAGGATATTGTTTCACTTGTCCTAAAGGCAGAAAAAGTTCATAAACAAATAGTAGTTGACTTAACAGCTTCTGGGATAGAGCCCAGGGAGAAAATGTGAGACTGAAGGCTCTGGGAAATATCATGATTTGGGAAAAGTGTTGGTATTACTTGATGAGAGATTATTGGTGTGGTATGTTGTGTCTATTTGGAAACAGCAGGTTGATTCTGCAGAGCATAGCGGCAAAGTGACCAACACTCTTGATTATCACCAGCCTATTCTAGTAGTGGTCCTAGCCTCAGAGCTTTGTCTGTGACAGCCCACTCTAGTTCCTGGTAACTTCATGGTATTATGAGGTGGTAGATGTAGCTGAGCTGGATCTGGCTCCTCTAAGGCTGAAGAAGGGATGCGTATCCTCTGGGTCTCATCTATTCTATGCCCTGTATGTTGAATTTCCTTCATCTGCCCAAGTGGAAACTCTTGGGCATCTTAAGGGAAGTTGCCTCTCCTAAGTCAACAACATGGACTCTGCCCGAGAACCTTCTGTAACCTTTCATCTGAACTCAGGACCTATCCAGAAGGGGGTATCTGATTATAACATGTTGCTAAACTGACTGCTTTGAGGCTTGTTAGATATTAAGAAATTGCTGTGATTTAATAGAGCCCGGGGCAAAGAAGAGCTGAGCTTTTCAACTTTTTTTTTGAGCTTTGTCTCCTTGCCATCAATTGGGTTAGGTTTTCTATATTGCTAGCTGCTGATTCTGCTTTACAAATATGAAACTTCAGCTCAGTACAGTTAATTTCATCCCCAGAGTCATTTGAACCATCTCTGGTTTCTCCAAACCATTTGTAGTTTCTCTCACTTCTCTGAGTTTGGTGTCATAGACAGAAGGGACACATTCAAAGCCATGGCTATTTCCCCCCACTCTTTTCCTCAAAATTAAGGTACTATGAACCCATTTGAAAGTATCACATGTAATGGCAAGGTCAGGGGATTTTGCTGGCCCAGCTATGCTGTATTTCGTCTTCTTTTACTGCCCCTTTCCCTAGCTAATTGCTATAAGGAACTTGTCTTAATTCCTTTGAAAAGAGTCTCCTGTGTGTTCTTACAAGCTGAATTCATGAAGGTAGGGAAGGCCTCACAGGTTTCTGAAGATAGGTTCATCGGAGTAGTTTAAAATGTTATAGGAGAATTTAGGGTTAGGTGAACAGATCATAGGATCATAGGTAATTTCTTCAGGCTACTTAATTTTGTTATACATATTATAGGTGTGTGTGTGTGTGTGTGTGTGTGTGTGTGAGAGAGAGAGAGAGAGAGAGAGAGAGAGTGACAGTGAGAGAGAGTGAGAGGGAGAGAGAGAGAGCCAGAGCCAGAGAGAGAGAGCGAGAGAGAGGAGGGAGAGATTGGTCAGAATC